CCAGACTTGGGTTTCACCTTGAGGTCTGCCAGTCACTTGCTGTGTGTTATGACCATGTTAGTTTCTCTCTAGGCCTGATTTTTTTTTTAAATCCGTGAAATCAGAATGATAGGAAAACCTATTTTATAGGGTTGCTTTGAAAGTTTAATTGTCCAATACATATTAAAAACTTAGCAAACTGCTTGGGCCATAATAAATGTTGGCTGCATAATGTCTGTTATTACTGTGATTACATTATAAAGCAAAGATTTTGGTTACAAAGTATCTGTAAGTAGAGAGATTAATTTAATGTCCACTTTTGCTTATCTGTGCCGTACACATTTTCCGTAGTGAATGTGGGCGTTTGTTTTTGGAGGAGAAGAATGTTTTAATTGGTTAAGCTCTAAGTGATCTGGATTATAGTTGCCCAAACCGAGGAGTGGGGAGAGGAAGGGTTGGAGTGATGGAGGGAGCATGGAATTAGACGATTATGAATGAAAAGTGGTTAAGAACTGGCAGACTATTTATCTTCTCACTTTCAGACCCAAGGAACTGCTTCATCATGTGTTCTGCATCTCATAGTAATAGTTGTTGTGGCCCAGCCTGTGTGGCCCAGTGGTTGAGCATGGACCCATGCACCAAAAGGTTGCCAGTTGGATTCCCAGTCAGGACACATGCCCAGGTTGTAGGCCCAGGTTGTAGGCCCGGTCCCCAGTAGGGGGCATGCAGGAGGCGGCCAATCAATGTTATCTCTCATCAGTGTTTCTATCTCTCTCTCCTTCTCCCTTCCTCACTCTCTAAAATTAATAAAGAAAAAAAATAGTTGTTGTGTATTCCTGTAACCTTCATTCAGTATTGAATCCGTTTTCTTTCTTTTCAGTTTTATTTATATTTTACAGCTAACTGCTAATTCGCATCCTGCAGGAATGCTATAAAATGAGTGCTGGTGAGTGTCTGTTAGGTAGATTTTGCCAAATTATTGGGAACATTTTTTTTTTTTTTTAAGAAAGATGATTGCCACCCATGATACCTCTTAGAAGGTCTCCCATCCAAAACTCAAAGCCAGGGGCAACTTCTGGATAGAGATAAGTGATGATATTCATTGATATATATATGTGTATACACACACACACACACACATATATATATTTAATCCTCACATGAGGACATTTTTCCATTTTTGTTCAGATAGAGTGGAAGGGAAGGAGAGAGAGAGAAACATCGATGTGAGAGAGACACATCGACTGGTTGCCTCATGCAGGACACCGACCAGGGCTGGGGACGAACCACAACCAAGGTACATGCCCTTGACTGGAATAGAACCCAAGACTCATCAGTCCGTGGGCCCACGCTCTATAACCCCTGAGCCAAACCTGCTAAGGCTAGATATTCATTTTTTAAAATAAAACAAAACATATTGCTAACAGATTGGCCTACTTCAATTGACTTACAACCATTTAAGAACCACAAATAACATTAAAATTGTTTCTTTCAGGAAGAAGCTTGATTTTCTAAAGTCAGACGGAACTTAATTCAAATCTAGACTATTTTCAATGACTAGCCATGTGATCTCAACAAATTACTTAGCTTCTCATTTTCCTCATTGTAAAATGGTGATAATTGTAGCCTGCCCTTAGGGTTGTTGAGAGAGAGAGAAAGAGGAAAAAAAATGAACGAGTAAATGAATGCAAAACATTTAACACATTTTCTGGTCCACAGACAGCTTTCAATAAACATTAATAATTGTTAATTATAAGGGTGAAGACGGAGAAGCCCTGAGCACTTTGACCAGATTCCAAGTTCTAAGCACTATGTTGTGAAAACACTAAAAATGCCAATTTTGAGGGGAATTAAATTATATGGATCTTGTAGTTAAAATTACTGGGGAGAGAAAATAAAGGTGGCCTCCCCTTCCCCCTCTCATCATAGAAACCAGGCCCAGAAAACCCAGATGCACGGTTTCTGGTTTGGCTCCAAGAAAATAGTCCTTAAAATGGAAACAAACCCAGGAAACCTAAGGCGTTAAACCCATCGCCCAGCAGACTTGGGGAGTCCTTTTTTACATCATTTGAGCACCGCGGGTTTTAGGCAGAAAATAGGCTGAATGATACGTGTCCCTTATTTTAGAAGAGAAAAAAGATATTTGTTCCCCACCCTGATCGTTGGAAGCCAGAAAATTTGCAGTTGTTCAAATATCATATGAAACAAGGCTCATTTTCTGAGATGGAGTTCTTTCTCTTAGAAAGTGAGTGGTCCTGCACCGTAGGGGTTCTCCCTTCTCCCTCCAGTTGCATGAGGTAAAGAATGGACTATTAAAAGACATTGGCACTGCCCTTGACCTTGATTTCAAGTATGAATATTGGGTTGTGAATTACTCTGCCATAACTTCCAGCCGGTAAAATTCATTCCCCACCGACTGAGTTAAATGCCACCAGGTTAGGCAGTGACCCCGCCGGCTTTGGGCATCACAAGGAACTGGGGGAGAGGCCTTGTTTTCACTCTCCGGTCCTCCGCCCACGCGGTGCGGTGTCCGGCCTTCCTGTCTCCCTGGGCAGGGGCCCCTTCCCTAGTGGCTCAGGCTGTTGCCTGAAACAGTCCATCCGTTTTTGCTTATTAAAACATTGACTATAGATTCTCTCAAACTCAGTCCTGCGAATTCTCATACCAACCTCCTGTCTGATTCAGGGCTCCCCGCCACCCACCACCGTGGCGTGGGCGTGGACGATCGCGCGGACTGTCCCACTCCTCCCCGCCCCTTTCCGAGCAGCACCCTTGGGTTTCGAACTCACGTGTGGAGGCACAGGGATCCGAACCCAAAGGTCCCGCCCCTGCCTGCTCTCTCTGGAGTTGTCTCTGACAGGTGGCAGGACTCATGGTGGCAGGAGGGTCAGGGCTCCATGCAGGTGATAACGACCTGAAGAGCTTTCACACGGCCCTGTGCTGAGTGTCACCTCCAGCGACTCTGACACGGTGGGGCTCCTGGACGGTTGCTGTCTCCAGCGAGCCAGGCCGGCGGGCCTCCTGGCCTTGCAGGCTGCGCCCTGGGCCCTGGAGGGGCCCTGTGAGGCTGGATCACACGCTCCTCTAATCGTCACTCACTCACACACCCACTCACACACCCACTCACACACTCAAGCACACTCACACATGCACACTCACTCTCACACACACACTCAAACACACACTCACTCTCACATTCCCACATCCACTCACACACCCACTTACACACTCTCACACACCCACTCACTCTCACCCACTCACCCACTCTCACACTCCCACCCACTCACACTCACACACCCACTCACACCCACTCACACTCACTCTCACACACCCACTCAAACACACACTCACTCTCACATTCCCACATCCACTCACACACCCACTTACACACTCTCACACTCACTTTCACACACCCACTCACATTCAGTCTCATACTCCCACACCCACTCACACTCACACACTCTCACACTCACTCTCACACCCACTCAAACACTCACTCACACACACCCACTCTCACACTCAGTCTCATACTCCCACACCCACTCACACCCACTCTCACACTCAGTCTCATACTCCCACACCCACTCACACACACTCACACTCACACACTCACACCCACTCAAACACACACACTCACACAGTCTCACACTCACACTCACTCTCACACGCCCACTCAAACACACACATACACACACACTCATTCACACACTCACAGCACTGCATATCTCTGCCTCCTACTGCAGCAGTTCCCAACAAGACTTGACTCCTAACCCCTGAACATCCAGGGCCAACTCAGCAGTCACAAGGGCCTGGTCAGCAAGTGCAGATGGAAGGACACCAGGGACCTCATCTCACACTCATGCACCATCTTGACCCATAATCCTCTGGGGATCTGACTCACCTGCCTTAGGAACATGGGGGGGGGGTCCCTCTTCCTGACTGTTGTATGCCCCCAAGAGGGAAACAGACCTTCCTTTATATTTTGAGGGGGCTACATAAAGGGGTTAGGGCCACTTATGTCAAAATGGTATCTGCAGAGAGATGGCTGCTTCCAACAACAGAACTCAGAATTCCTATTAATTGTGACAGCACAATTAAATGTGAACCCTACTCGACAATTTTGGCACTATTCCCTACCCTTTAGACAGCCTCTGGGTAAATTTTAACTCTTTAGGCAAAACTCAGTTCCTCATCTTTAAAAAAGGAAAACTGGTGGTATTGTGATAAAGTGAGAGCTAAAATTGTAACTCTAAGGCACTCTGAACACCACCACCCCGTCTGGCCCGTGTGGCTCAGTGGTTGAGCATCGACCCATGCACCAAGAGGTCGCCAGTTCGATTCCTGGTCAGGACACATGCCCAGGTTGTAGGCCTGATCCCCAGTGGAGGGTATGTAGGAGGTGACCAATCGATATTCTCTCTCACCGATGTTTCTCTCTCTCTCTCTCTCCCTCTCCCTTCCTTTCTCTCTAACATCAATAAAGAAAATATATCACAGCCCCCTGCACGGCATGCAGTATCATGTAAATAATGGTTATACTAGCCCCTGTCACTTGTTGGCACCCTACTTATTTCTGCGTCCTCTCTGACACTGCATGTTTAAACTCCTCTCACTAGGAGGTATGCTGCATGGGCTGGAGACCTTATCTGTGTTGCTCACTATGGTCACCAGCACCTGCCACCTTGCCAGGCCCACAGAGGCAATTAGTAGACATTGATTGAATCAATATTCTTTGTTAGTAAGTGGGCAGGTGCTGCCTTAATAACTCTACAAAATAGTCTTTCAAAATGTAATCAATGGCCCTCCTGAATCAGCATCAGATGAGGTGCTTCCTAAATGGAGACTCCTGGGGCTCACCTGAGACCCATGAACCACAAGCTCCCCAGGTAAAATCAGAGGGAGGCTTGTCATTTCTGGCTGCAAGTCCCTCCAGATGACTGGACCCATAATAAATGATGCCCACAGGAATGGAAAACAATGACCTTGCTCTTCGTCAAGACAGCTGCCCCCCAAGCCCGTACCCATGTAAGGCTTGGTGCCGGCCATGGTGGTGATCCGCGTCTCCCTGGGCAGCATGGCGGCGATGTTGAAGTCTGTGATGTGCACGTGCCCTGGTGGGAGAGAAAGACCACAGAGTTAATCCATTCAACCCACTGGCACAGCCATGCTTCCAACTGGAAGCTTATCTATAAATTCTTCTAAGCGTTGGGTACTAGCAGTAAAAACGCAGCTCTTCTGTCCTCAAGGCCAAAGTGTTTTTCAAACAGCAAACCCTCTAGCAGCCAGAACATGACATGTAAAGATGAGTATCTGCTTGTAAATCTGTAGTTCAACCTCAGAAAGTGTTGACTTGGAGAGTTGAGAGAGCTCCCTGCTGTAATTCTACTTAGGAAACTTTTGTCTGTAACATTTTAAAGTGGTATAACCTGTGAGTATCCACAGGGACTCAAGAGCTACTCAAAGTATCAAATTGCCAGTGGTCTCTTAGGGGATCTTTCTTAAAGAGACAAACATTGTTACTATAAAGCAGACTCGGATGTGGGTACAGAAGGTCTTCCAACAAGGTTCTTTCGTTATAACATTGATGGGGAACATAGATTCTCAGCAGGGCCCACTGCAGTCTGCATGGTCTCCCCATGTCTGCATCCCAAAGATGTGCATGTGAGGTGAACTGGGGGGTCTACATGGTCCCAACGTGAGTGTATGTGTGGGAGTGGCCTTGTGATGAAGGGGGGTCCTCAGCCTGTGCCCTGAGCCGCTGGGATAGGTTCTAGCCACCGGAATCCCTGAACTGGAATAAGGGGGTTGAAATGTCATTCTTACTTATTTTTGTTCATCTTTCCTAGATGTATATATAGCTCACATTTACTTCAGTGTTTACTATTAGAAGTGTTTTGGGTCTTTATTTAGAAGTTTGGTGATGTCTTTGTAACCAGAAATATGCTGTAGGAACTTAACTCTTGATTATTTTTTATTCTTTATTTATTTTATTCTCACCCGAGGACATTTTTGCATCTATCTTCAGACAGAGCGGGAGGGAGAGAGGGGGAAGGGAGAGAGAAACATCGACACGAGAGAGACACATCGAGTGGTTGCCACCCATACGACCCCCATCTGGGGCTGGGGACAAGCTGTAACCGAGGTACGTGCCCTTAGCAGGAACTGGTCCTGGGACTCTCTGGTCCATGGGCTGATGCTCTAACCGCTGAGCCAAACCAGCCACGACCTTAACTCTTGTTTCTATCAACTAGCCTAGGGTAAAATTGGTTTCCTTATATGCCGTTTCGCTTAAAGAAGTTTCTAAGAATCTGATGACATTAAGAACTTACTATATCTTTTCCTTTGCCAGAAAAGAGTCTTTTTTAAAATTCTTTTTTGTCTGAAATAACATTACTAATTTTTGTCGGTTAAGTCAGGTTGCCCCCTAATGATTTTCAACAAAATAACTCACCAAGGGAAAGCAGAGGGGAAAGTCAAGGTGTATTTACAACGAGGTTGTATACGGAGCCCTAGACTGGAGCCAGGAGGCGGGTCTGACCCCGAGCTCTGCCTCTAACACGTTACGGACTCAGTCCCATCCCCGTGTGGAACCTGAGATGGAAGGGATGGGTGGACTCTGTGCCCGATAGGGTCTGTCTCAGCTCTGACACCCAGGGCGTCACTGTGTGGGTGTCACACTTGAGTTCCACTGGGAGCACACCTGCCAGGTGCGTTAGGGTCCCTGCACTGACCATGAGAAGGAAGAAAGGGGCAGCCCAGCTCAGGTGCACAAGCTCGCTACTGGCACAGACGCCTGTGCCTTCAGAGGGTCTGAGAGTGTTGGCATTTCCATGTCCCTGCTTCGTGGTTTTGAGGAGGTGTGGCTGTAACTGGAGGGGACGATGTCATCTGATGCTTCTTCCAGGTCCCCCAGTCCACACTCCCTCCCCCCGAAGGTCACTGTCTGCTCTTTGATGGCCTCCAGGCTGCTGCTAAAGATAAAAATCTCTGCCTTTATTGTCAGGGTTTGCTTTGTGCCCAGTGTTTGTGTTTGCTGGCGTGATGACATTTTAATACGAGGCAGCACTCAGCTAGCTAAAAGTGAAGGTTTTCTTGCCAGAAGGATACCAATGGGTGATTTTAATAACTCGCCCTATTCCAGTTTAGGTGGTCTTGGTTTTTCCTTTCTCTCTTTCCCCCATGGGTCATGCTCAAAGCACTGGATGGTGGTTCCCAGGTTTGGTATGAAACAGGTGAGCCTGGAGATGCTGTGGTTAAGAGCCTGTTCTCTGGGGTTAGATTATTTGGCTTCATGTCCAGGTTCTATCACTAACTGGCTATGTTACCTTAAAATGAAGGCTTATCTTGCTGTGGACAGTTGAGCTTGGCAGTTAGAGTGTCGGCTGGCAGACAAAATGGTCATGGGTTCGATTCCTGGTCAAGGGCTTGTGCCTGAGTTGCAGGTTTAATCCTCAGCCCCGGTTGGGGTCGTGCGTGAGGCAACCAATCGATGTGTCTCTCTCACATCGAAGTTTCTCTCCCTCCCTCCCTTCCACTCTATTTAAAAATTAATGGAAAAATATCCTCAGGCTGAGGATTAACAACAAAAAAGAAACCTAAATCGTAGCCGATGCCATAATTGTCACTTTATCAGCTATACCAGGCAGACAGTACTGTTTTTCCACATTCAACATTTATTTCCTGAATAACTTGAAAACACAAGAATTTTAGACACTGTGGAACTGATAGAATTGGGTGGGGTACTTAAATTGGTAGGATATGAAAATATATATCAGGACAACTGGCTAGGTGCCATCCACGATCTAATGCCTTCCTGGGCTATGAACTAGTGAGAGAGACATTTGGGGAGAACAGTAGCAGGTACCCTCTAAATTAAAAAAACATTTCGAAAGTCAAATTCTGATGTACAAGGAATGTTTATTCACCCCCATGGAAAGATTCTCCATTTTATGAAAGGATTTAGCTTCTTTAAATATCAGTCTTTTCTGATGAATATGAACCAAGATGAACCAGTGGGAATAATACAAAGTTTCTGCCTGGTGCTGAATGGTGCTGAACGAGATACATAAGAGATTTGGTATCATATGCAGCTCACTTAGAGGAATGGGCGTAGGAGGCAGATCTGAAACATGCAGTTATCCTGCCCAGTTGGTAAAGTCCCCAGGAAAGAGGTGCGTGTGATGGTCCTTTGGGGGTGAAATGAATGTGGATGGAGAGGACAGGTAAGGGTTTCAAACATGAAATGTGGAAAATCACACCAGAAGATCCTTCAAAAGGCAGGCATTGGCTTGCCATCCAGTTGGTTGTTCCAAGATTAACTCACACAGTGAGTTGCGGGGGCCAAGGGGGTGGGGGGTTACCAGGAATTGATTCATTGAAAAGTGATTAATTATGGTCCCCGAGCAATGCCTGAAAGCCTTTGTTTTTCAGAACCTGAATAAACAGAAAGTAAGTAACCTCAAAAAATTTTTTGTCCAGAAAGGGGACCCCACAAGCATGTTTAGAGAATAGCTCTCAATCTTTGTTTGTTTGTTTATTTGTTTACTTGTGTCCCATTTACATATCCCATCCTTCCCAAAGCAGTGTCTCTCTTACTAACTGCAGCGATTCACAAGTGGAGTTCAGGATGGGAATATAATACAGACAAGCCCCATATTAATTCATTTTTCCAAACCCAAAAACTTGAAAGAGAAAAGGGGTCATTGAAAATAGTATACCATGCCCTGGCCAGTTTGGCTCAGCGGTTAGAGCGTCGGCCTGCGGTCCGGAGAGACCCGGGTTCGGTTCCTGCTAAGGGCACGTACCTCGGTTGCAGTTTGTCCCTGGCCCTGGTTGGTCGTGCGGGTGGCAGCCACTCGATGTGTCCCTTCACGTCGATGTTTCTCACTCTCTCTCCCTTCCTCTCTCTCCCTCCCATTCTATCTGTACAAAAAATGAAAAAATATCCTCGGGTGAGGATAAAAAACAACAAAAAAAAGAAAATAGTAGACCAGTTAACAGGTGGAGTTGAGACCCTCCCCTGGGCCAACTGGGATGACCAATCACAGCTCCTAAGCAACTGAGCCCCAGCCTTGCCAAGAATACAATTCCCTGCCCTGGCCGGTTTGGCTCAGCGGTTAGAGCATCGGCCTGCAGTCCAGAGAGACCCGGGTTCGGTTCCCGCTAAGGGCACGTACCTCGGTTGCAGTTTGTCCCCAGTCCTGGTTGGGTCGTGCGGGTGGCAGCCACTCAATGTGTCCCTTTCACATTGATGTTTCTCTCTCTCTCTCTCTCTCTTCCTCTCTCTGCCTCCCACTCTATCTGAACAAAAAATGGGAAAAAATGTTCTCGGGTGAAGATAAAAAAAAAAAAGAATACAATTCCCTGAAAAGAAGGTTTAGTTTCCTATACACTTGAAGGAGGGCAGGATGGGCCACTGACAGTGTAGTTACCTGAGAACTGGGGTTCAACAAGTGTTAAACAAGCCCTGATAAATAGACACACATAATCTTTGGTGTATCCCTCTGGAATCAAAATATCTCTTTAGTAAAGACAGGTAAGTAGCCAGCGTTCACTGCGTATCGGATACAGAGACATAGCAACGTAAAACAAGATGAAGTGGGCTAAGTTTCTTCCCCGTAGGGGAGAAAACCCCCACTGCCCATGGAATCACACTAATATGTAACTTTTATTGAGTGATTTCCTTCTGGCAGATTCTACGATCAAGCACTTTATAAATAGTATGTCAGTTTGTCTTTACAATGAGCCTAAGAAGTAACTATTCTTTTGATCCCTGGAGAAACTAAGGTAGCAGAGAAAGTTTAGGCAAACTGTTGACGCTCTCAGAGCTAGTGAGTGGATGAATTATTTTTTTTGTTAAATTTATTGGGGTGACATCGACGAATAAAATTATATAGGTTTCAAGTGTACAATCTATAAATACATTATCAGTATATTTCATTGCATGTTTACCACCCAAAGTCAAGTCTCCTTGCATCACCATATATTTGGCCCCCTTTCCCCTCTTCCCCCCCTTCCCCTTGGTAACCACCATACTGTTGTCTGTATCTATGAGTTTTTGTGTGTTTTTTGTCTTGTCTGTCTGTCTCTTGCTTTCAGATTTTTGTAAAATCCTCACCTGAGGATATTTTTCCATCCATTTTCAGACAGAGTGGGAAGGAGGGAGAGAGAGAGAGAAATGTCAATGTGAGAGAGACACATCGACTGGTTGCCTCCTGAACAACCCTGACCAGGGTTGGTACTGAACCGCAATCGAAGTCCATGCCCTTGACCGGAATCGAACCTGAGACCCTTTGTTCCGTGGGCCTACGCTCAAACCTAAGCCAAACTGGCCAGGGCTGTTGCTTTCAGTTTTATATCCCACATATGAGTGAGATTCTATGGTTCTTGACTTTTTCCATGGGACTTATTTCACTTAGCATGATCTTCTCAAGATTCATCCATGTTGGTACAAGTGACAGTGTTCCATCTTTTCTTAGGACTGAGGAGTATTGTGTTGCATGTGTGCATAACATCTTTTTGTTGTTGTTAATCCTCACCTGAGGATTATTTTTTCTAATGGAAAAATCAATTTTTTAGAGAGAGTAACAGTGAGGGAGAGGAGGAGAGAAAAAGAGAAACAGAGAGAGACAGAGACAGAGAGAGAAACAAACATCAATGTGAAAGAGACACATTGATCGGTTGCCTCTTGCATGTGTCCTAAATGGGGTCGAGAATCCAACCTATAACCTAGAAATGTGCCCTTGACCGGGAATCAAACCCACGACCCTTCCATGTGTGGGCTGACACTAACCACTGGACCACACCTGCCAGGGCCCACCTTTGATTTTGAACTCCGGCAATCTGGCTTTAGAATCCATGCTCTTAACTCCACGATTCATCTTTCTCAATGATAGTCTCTAAAAGTGATTCAACCTGAAGATTAATTTACTTCTGGACCTTTCTCTCAATCTACAACCACCAAGTTGAGAAGACCATGAGGAGGTGAAAGGTGAGAATGTCCTCATAGTAAAATCGGATGGAACCATGTTTGAGATCTAAGATTAAAACACTGTTCTCTGAAATGGAAGGTAAATCTTGAACAGGTTTTGGTCGACAGGACCTATATGTCTCCACTCAGAGTCTCAGTAAACGGCAGAGCAGTATATTGTCAACAATGGCAGCAGGAGCAGGTGGGAACAGAACCCCGGCCTGGGTTCTGCCCGACCAGCCCGCCAGGCACCTTCGTGAGTCTGGTGGACCATGAAGCACCTTTTTCTAATTGTGCAAAGGTAGCCTCGGTGGGCTAGAGGAGGCCCTCTCCACCACTGTGAAGCTCTATAGAGTTCTTTTGCACCAGGGTGAGAGAGGATCCTATTTCCTACTTAAGGCCTGGAGAGCTGGTGTGTTGACAAAAGTCACCTTCAGGCTAAGTCTTACCATTGCTCACATTTCTGAAGTTCAGAAAATCTGTTCCCAAATGTCAGAGCAGTAAAGGAAAGGGAGAAATAAGGCATTGAAAGAAGTGGAAAAAATCTTTTTGGACAGCTTGTAAATAAATAATGACCCTGAGCTTTGAAATTAGAGGTCACACGCAGAAGTGTTTCTTAGCCCTCTGAGCACAGGTGGGGTCTGGCAAATCAGGTTTAAAATGCAACTAGGTAAATAAATAATGAGCAAGGGATGGTTCGTGGAGTTTCAGTCCCACTGGCAAATCCCTTCTGTTAAAGTTAAGTGAGTAAGGAGCTTTGCAGATTTACGACTCATCTAGTAGCTTTCTGAAGAGGACGAGGACTGCCACATTGATAACTTGTAGGCTGTGTGTCCTACAATCTATCCTGATGAACCGATAAATCCAAATGTACATTCAAATATATATTAGAAAGGGAATAGACTTATTTAATTATTGTTGGTAAAAGCTTCTTCTACAGGGTATCTTTAATCAGTGTTGTTGTTGTTGTTGTTGTTTTAACTTCAGCCATTCACTTTTTACCTTCATGGTTCTTCCCACATCGCTACATCACTTACTGATCTGGATACCACATATACTGTCATCTATTTCATATTTTTCTTGAAGCTGGCTGATTTGTTTTCAACGGAAGGATCTTTGAACAGAAAACTTAATATCTCTTCTGCAAATGTAAAACCAATTTGCCCTCCTGAAAAGGAAAACATAAAAGTAGACCCAATGTCAAGGAAGTAGTGTCCCTGGTTTCTAGGGACACTCACAGGCTGTAAGCTTGGGGACTATTCTGTATGAAAAAAAGATGATGATTGTCAAGACAGAAAGGCAAACCAGCACCAAAACACAGGCTGGGTTGAGGAAATCAGTAGGGGTGGAAGGAAATTAAAATGAGAATGACTTTCTCATTATGTAAATTGAGTGCTATTTAAGGGTGTGTTGGTGTACTATGTCACTGCTATAAATACCCAAGGGTCTTCAGATTGTCCCTCCCACTTACAAAATCGAGTCTGTGGCTCAGTTGGTTGGAGTGTCATCTGGTGCACCGAAGGGTCTTAAGTTCAATTCCCAGTCAGGGTGCATGCCCAGACTGTGGGAGAAAACTGATTGATGTTTCTCTCTCACATTGATGTTTTGCTCCCTCTTTCCCCTTCTCCCTATCCTTTCCTCTCTCTATAAAATTAATGAAAAAATATCCTGATGATTAAAAAAATTAATTAAGTTTGTACATATAACTCAAGTCAATCAAGCAAGCAAGACAACTTGTCTACACATAATATTTCTTTGCTGGGGATAATCATTTTGTTCTATATGCAATTGTGTTGGTTGCAAACAAATCATTCACTTACCATGTTCATCAAGCAAAATGTTGTCAGGCTTTATATCCCTAGGGGAGTAAAAAGAAAAGAGAACATTGCTCATAATAAAATGAACAAACAGAACTAAAGGGTAAAGGGGAAAATGCTCAAGAATGTTTAGTAGGGTTGAAACCATGTACGTGCCCCTCATCACTCACAATCTTATTCTAGTCTCACAGTGAATCTATGAGACAATGACCACAAACACCCCCAGGAAGCTGAGACTTAAAGAAATTAAGTAAAGCCCGGTTGGTGTGGCTCAGTGGTTGAGCGTCAACCCATGCACCAAAAGGTCACCAGTTAGATTCACAGTCAGGACACATGCCCAAGTTGTGGGCCCGATCCCCAGTGGAAAGCATACAGAGGGCGACCAATAGATGTTCTCTCTCGATGTTTCTCTCTCTCTCCCTCTTCTTTCCTCTATCTCTAAAATCAATAAAGAAAAATTTTAAAAAGAAGTAAATTAGCCCAGGGTCAGAGATAGTTAATGGAAGAACCGAGCTCTGAACCTGGGTCTCTGTCATTCAAAAACTCAGACTCTTAATGTCTTTAGCATTTGATATCTAAGCATGTAAGTACTGCTCTGTAGGGTCATATGGGACATTTAAAGTGTCATAAGGTAGTAATACTAATTTTTCTACACATTAATAGATGTGTAATACTACATATTTTCATGTGTTCATCCAGAGTGAATGTAAAGACTTAAAATAAGGATGAAAAAAATCTATAATGTGGTTTTATTTTGAACTTGCAGAAATTAGAATCTTCTTTAGGATGATGCTATAATTCTCTAGTTACTTAAAAATATTATTCCTGGGGTGGTTAATTAAAAGATCTGGACCAGTCTTCCATGCTTTGGTGAGATCCTCAAATCTGTAGGAGGAAACAAGGCCCACCCTCTTCCATTAAAGGGAGTAGTTCCATGGTAACTACTTAGAGGAACGGCCTGTAGAGTTTTCAAAATTCCCCAGAAACAAATATCGTGAGTAGCGCCGCTCAATCTGAGAACAGCGCTGTTGTTCCTACAGCCCCGTCCTCCGCTCTCAGCTCTGACTGCCCTTCCCTAATGTACTATTAAAGCCCTCTAACCCAAATTCACAGAAGCCATTAGGGAAGACATTCTGAAATAGGTTTTGGGAACACATTTTCAGCTTAGTCGAGTGGCTTTTCTGTTGCTTGAATAAGGTGACCCTGGTCTTTGACAAGCCTGATGTTGTCAGGGTCCTCTTTGCTTGAAAACATGAATGAAGAACAAGCCCTTTACCTACAATCAGAACCAAGTATATGCCACCCGCAATGGGCAGGTGTATGGGTAGTCTCATGAATGTTGAGTGTCTTCTCATTTACTTTGTTAGGGTCTTAAAATTAATTCTGAATGAATTCGTAAGTGATTATCTGTAGCTGTGGCAAATGTTTCTCTGGTGCATGGTACAATTTGCTAAAAGGATAGAGTGTTGGGGGTTTTCTAACTGCATGTTCCTATGGCTACTCCCTCTCTCAATATTGCAGATTCTACCCCAAATCCTTTGATGGATCCCATTATTTCAATAATTAATAAGTTCAAATTCACTCATATGGAATAAAGTCACTTTTATCTTTAGCTCCTGTCCTCTGGCCACATGGGAGCACACGGAGTCCCCTAAATGCTCTCTGCCTTCCCCTACCTTCTGCTGCTCCTTCACCAGAATCAGAGCTCTCTCATCACTGCACCCAGTCAATGAAGGTTCATCCCTCACCTCATAGCTCAGATGCCACTTCCTGCAGGAAGCCTTTCCAGATTTTACAGGTCTGAGTCAATGGCCCCTTCTGTGTGCTCTGCAGAGTATACTTCTTCCATCATACCAGCTATCGTTTATTTTACCTCCAAATGGATCATGAACTCGTTGATGTCAGGGATGGTTTCTAGATTAATGTTACACTTTATCACATAGGCTCACAGTGCCTGGTGGGCAGTAAATGAATGACTCATTGAGACCAGGAGAATGTCTAGTGCACTCAAGGTTAATCATAACAATCTCTACCAGAGCACTAGGGTGCACCACCAAACACTCTACAGCTGAATGCCCGAGGTAGACCAGGTGTTCAACTCTTACCACCTCTCTCAGACCTGCATCCAATGAGCATTGGTCAGTGCTTGCCAAGCGAGGAGGCGGCCCCAGGAGCCCTGTCAGGAAGGGAGAGACCTGGGTGTGGCAAGATCAGCATACTTATTCCATGGCCTGGATTTATGAAGACTTGCTGAGAAAAATGAATTGCTCTGGCTTTGGCACTCGATGAGCTTCTATAAATCTCTGAACATGACTTTTATTAAAAATTGAATGTACTGGGGTGATGTTGGTTAACAAAAGTATACAGGTTTCAGGTGTGTTCAAGTCTCCATCCATCACCATTTATCCCCCCTGTACCTTCCTGTACCTGCTTCCATTCCCCCACCCCCAGCAATCACCACACTGTAGTGCATGTCCATGAGTTTTCTCTCTCTTTATTTTACCCAGTCCTTCCCCCACCCCCAACAGTGGTGAGCCTTGAGCATCACTTTTATTACTTATGAAAGCAACATATCATTACAACTACTACTTGTCCCAGAAATGAAAGATGATGCTTAAGGAGTACTATAGAGACCAGAGGTGACAATTAGTTTAATGTAACCTCTAATCTCATGTTCATTTATCCCTTAAGTATCTATCTGCTTTGATAAGTCACTATGCTAGGACTTTAGAAATATAAAGACAACTGTGATATAGTTTCTTCAGGGATAAAAAGGTTAAGAGAGAGTCATAAAGAACCACACCAAAAAGGCTGAAAGTGGCGAAGTGGTGTGTTGACTACTGAATTCAGAGAAAGAATATGAGGAAAATCTAGGACAATTTTGAAAGAAAAGGTGGACTTTTAACATAAAGTATATAGGCATAGATTCTAAGTATGCAGTTTTCCCAAAATGTGATGAGGTGTCTTCTAAGTCACCACAGGGTCAGCCGCAGAATGATAACATTGTCGATTGTTACACCAGGAGAAAGAAAATGCAAATAAACCCAGAGTGCTATAGAAAAATTCCTACGAGAACAAGTTGAGCTCTTTCTGGTTCTGAAATTTAGCTCCACTTTCTTATCTTTTCCAAGAATCCTAAATATGAAATAATTCATGCTAAATGTTCTTTTTTTTAAGGCAATCTGTACTAGAGTTTCACGTAGGCAATCTGTAATATGGTGTCGTTTAAAGCTATACAATATGGTGTAACTCGGGGGTTACCAAACCTGGGTGTGTTCAGAATCACCAGGCAGGCTTTGGAAACGCGGACTCTGTGACCTACTTGCTCGGTCCTGCAGCAATGAGACTGTCTGTGGATACCCCAGCCTTCCGTCCAGGCCTTCTTATAGACGGTCATGTTCAGAACTACCATCCAGGCATGGCTCAAATCCAAAAATACCAATCTGATTTTAAAATGTGAACCTCTTAAAAGCTTATCTATGAATGTAAAGGTGTTAGAAAAGTATAACACATCATTCTGGACAAATTAGATATAAAGGTGTCTTAGAAGTAGCGTATCACCAGCGGGGAACGAATGGGTTCCCTCTCACTGTTGTTCATCATTCTTGGGGATGACGACGTCTGTGTGGACATTCCATCTAATACCTTAGCCTCTCAGTTCCCTGACTGTCCCCCAATAATCTTCTCACCTATCCCACCCAGTTGTTCCCCAGCCCCCCCTTTCCTCAATCATCCCTCTGTCATTATTCTAGCCCAGCCCCTGCCCAGCATGACCTTCTATCCAACACAATTCTCAAACTGGCATGTCTACCACACTGGTACCATCAAATGCTCCGAGAAAGGACATCCTTTCTGTATCGTTCAGTACTGTGGCTCCCAGGCTCCCCCACTTACTTAAGGAAGTGCTTAAGTAAATATTTGTCATAAATGTGAATCTGATTCCTTGGTTTCTCAGACTTCTGGAATAATAAGCCATGTATTCTTTTTCCCTTAAGAAAAGAAAAACAAAACAAAAAGAAGAAAACAAAAGAACACCCCTCCCCCAAACAACAACAACAAACAACTCTCTGTGCCGGAGGCACCGTGTGTACTGTTGGCCAACTAAGAAATGGATCATTTTAGGAAGTGGTTGAGCATATGTTAGAGTACGTGATAAAGAGGTGATTCTGCTATCTGAGCCTATGGTTGCGGGGGGCGGGGGGCAGGGCAGCGCTCTAGAATTCGGGGAGTGGTAAAGTATGATCCTAGGCACACACACCCTGTAGAAACACTTCATGGCATCTTGATGGAAGGAAACAGAGAAGCCACGTCCTGCACATCAGCTGGTTCCTACTGTGGGAACCAGACAGAGAGTGTGGAAACACAATGCTCCCTGTGGCCGGATCCAAGGTGGATCTGATACATCTGCTGTTCTCCCTTGACTGACTTTACAGGACATTAGCAGAACCTAATAGGCTTAATTACATCCCTTTACTGCGCCTACCCTGGGATCAAGTGGCTCACCCCGCAATCTGATATGGGATGTCGTGAGAACAGGGAACAAGAAAATCAGCCCATCCAAACCAAAAGCAACTCCCTCTGTGTCCCACAGCTCTCTGACAGGCCCCCAGTTTGGGTTTCATTCTTTGTTACACAATGTTCTCCTAGATTGGATCTTTTTCAAGATCTTGAGAGGGGAGAACATATCATACATATAATTCTATAGTATATTATTTAGGGTGTCACACAGAGGCTAATTGTCACATAAACAGATCTATGCTAAGAAGACAGTGGGGTGGGTGGGAGAGTGAGAAGGGAAATTGTGAGCAAAAAAACATAGTTTGGAACAGGAGGCAGGTGGATCGTTAGAGACCAGGTCTCGTCTCTCATCTTCCATCTATTTCTTACCAAATGGATGCTGCTGTTTTGTTTTGTTTTTAATTGGTTCAAATTGGTCTGCCGCAAGTTTAATTGTATAATTTACGTTTTCATAGTTTCTATTGCATATTTGAAAATCACGTCGATTTGGCACCCTACTCTATAATATGCCCATGTATCTTTC